TTCTGACGATTAATGGATAAAAACTAGCCATCTTCTGCAGACTTTTCAGTTGAACGCTTAAGTTTATTTTATACAATGTCAGAAATACATAAAAAATGCAAATAAACAACCAATTAAATTTCTTTTTTTAAATAAAAATATATATATTTTGTTGCGTAAAATACAGTAGCATAGAATTCCTTTATGTATGCTTGATCATTTCTAGCAAAAAGAATGCATCTGCAGCTAAAAAACAGACTTCTAACATCAAAGCTCAGCCCTTTCTCCTCGACTCAACATCAATACAGCGTAGGGCGAAGGATCTGTTTAATTTTTTTTCAATTAGTAAATGAACAGCAACAGGAGCTTAATAGGAGATTTTTTTATTTTTTTTAACTGAATGAATACTGGTGAAGATAAAACTTTGTCACTTGAGGAATTCTGGGTAGAACACATTTACAGACAAGGAAGGAGGGTTTTTTATGGTCAGGGGGAAATGTAAACATTTTTGGACAATTTTGGATTAATAACTGCTCTGAGTATGTTCTTTCAGAAAATTGAAATTTTTTTGAGTTTGTATACTCCAGTTAACAATTAAATTAGTTAATGATTATTTCAATTCTCGATTCATCGCAATTAATACGATTAATCGTTTAAGCCCTAAAATTATTCATGGGATATTTAAGAAATTATCCTGCTCAGAGGTTAATACATGGATTTGGTGAATAATACAAACACAAAACCTTTACTATACAACTATCTTCCTTTTGAAACGTTACTTGAACTAGACCTTTCCTTCTGTCACTCTGTATTAGAGCTGCATAGTACATAAAAATACTCCCGGCATCAATTTGAGAGTTTGTATATCAACACTTTCCTTTCCAGATCTAGATTCCTGTTTTCCACATTTCTGATCCCCTTTCCCAACAGTTCATGAGGATGCATTAAAAGGGGAGTATGAATTTTTGTCAAAACTGACCCAATGTAACAGAGCCTGGCCTCGTGCCAAGTCAACATGTTTTTGTGCCCATGATACGTCCAGGAAGCCACGGCCAGAGAGGGAAAAACAGGCAGTGGCTCCCTCACCTCAGAGACACACTCTGACTCAAAAACAACAAGTCATGCTTGTTCAAATAAGAGCTTTGAACCATCTTGTGTCAAATAGAAGTCATTTCTGTGTCCCATTGGCTGGAGGATAAAATTCAGACCACAACCTGGTACCTTATGTAAAACAACAAAACAAAAACGGCCACTCCAACTTTAATAGCTGCACTACAAAAACGAAATAAAGATGCTGTCGCAGGGTTTATGAAGTTAGCGAAGTTTACTGATGTTAGCATGTATTTACAAGTCACATTAAAGATTGTTGTGTAAGCAGCACTGTGACCATAAGCAGAACTGGTGATCTGTCCAGGGTGTAATCCGGTTCTCCCCTGATACCCGCTGCGACAGACCGTCTGGAGGAGGGAAAAAAACAAACAAACAAACAAACAAACAAGCAAGCAAACAAACACAGCTTCAATCATCTAAGACGATTGTAAATGTGGCTGGCAGTACCCCTGTGTTGCTGCTATTAGAGTTTACAGTCTTTATTCCTATCATAGTTCGAATCAGTGCAAATCATTTCTGTAACATCCGATCATACATTCAGATCAGATCCCAAATCTGTACATGTTATTGGTTTATTAGCTTAGATAATATGTCAAAAGTTTACCTTTTACCCTTTGAAATCTTAGTATAAGCCAGTGGTTCCCAAACTTTTTCTCCTAGGCCCCCCCAGTGGTTTCTAACGTATCTCTGGGCCCCCCCTAAGGCTTACAAATAGCTGTCTGGTTGAACGATGTGTGTGAGCGAAAGGGGTGGGGGAGTGGCTTCTTAGAGACTCCCTGTTATACTCAGCCCCGGCTCCAGACGAACAAGGGGGGGAGGTGGGGAATCAACTTTTTTGGGGGCAAAATGAATCGTAACTGAACATAGACAACATCGGTAGCCTACAGGCTACTTGTTAATAAGCTTTAGGTGCTGTATTGATATTTGCTAGCTAGTCAACTTTTAGCTAACTTTACCTGCTGATAAAAGTGGCAGAGGACACAGATATGGGAAGTGTGGAAGCCCCTACTGTATCAAATTGACATAGGAATAACAGAGAGTTGGCCATTCTAAGGTAAAAACCCAGCGCATACAGTGTTCATGTTTTTTTTGTTTGTTTTTTTTTCATCCCGACGGCTTCCCGCGCCCCCCCTGCAATGGCACGGCGCCCCCCCAGGGGGCGCGCCCCACAGTTTGGGAACCTCTAGTATAAGCAATGATTCAAGTGAATCCATGATTTTAAAAAGAACATCAAATTATAAATTATGTAATAGCAGTTTTTTGTATTTTTCATACTGTTTTGAAAAAGTGAAAACATTTGAAATGTTTGTGTACAATAGATATGTGACATCCCAGTCGAACATTTCCCTTGGCAACCAAGGAGTGCCTCAGAGCTCTAATCTTGAGCCACTACTCTTTATCATTGACATGATCCCACTTTGTCAAATCCCAAAATGTCATTCATATGCTGAGGGCATACAAACTTACATCCACACCTAATCGCACTTGCTGATCAACTCTTCACATGGTATAAGAGTCACACTAAGGTTGAAGGTAAGGTTGAAGATGTCCTCTTGGAAATAGATTGCTACTAGATCTGTCCATCTTCCAAAGTCCATAACTTCCTCTGCTTTGAGTCACATTTTAAACCCTTCACAGAATCTGCTCTCTCTCACCTTAGATATGTCTCAAGAATATTGTCATGTCTCACTGATCCTGGGTCACTGCAAAATGGTCTTGTTTTGGTGTTAGGATAACCAGAAAAGCACTAGAAAGGTTCCATATGTACAATGCCTATAAAAAGTATTCACTCCCTCTGATGTTTTGCACTATTTGTTCCTTTTATAAATCAATCATGATCAGCAAAACATGACTTCAGCGACAATAAGATTCACAAAGAACTCTTTAATAACAACGTGAAATCTGATCTCTCCTAAATGACAATGAAGCAAAAACATTAAACATAAAATATGATGCCACCACCTTGCACCACCTTGCCTCACGGTGCGGATGGTGTGATTGTGGTGATGTGCAGCGTTTGTTATCTCCCAAACATAGCGTCTTATCTGATGATCAAAAAGCTTCACTTTGGTCTCATGAGACCAAAGAACTTTCTTCCACTTGACCGTGGAGGCATGTTGTCTTCGTGCTGTCATGGTAACCAGGAATTATTGATTAACCAATTAATGGATCTTTCAGACACAGGCTTTTCTATATTAAAATTACTTGAGACACTCGCTGTTCTCAGGTGAACTTTATTCCATTCATTGTCAGATGGCTATCACCAATTGCCTGGGCCTCTGTCGAATTATGTCAGTCACTTCAAAGGGGGGTGGATGTTATGTTACATTTTATTACTTGTCATAATTTTGTAGAAAAAAATTTTCACTTTGACATTAAAGAGGTTTTTTGTAACTTTTTTGTCACATAATAAAGAAAAAATTTGTTGATCATGGTTGATTTGTAAAAGGAATAAAAGGGTAAACATCCAAGGGGCTGAATACTTTTAAAGTATAAATACTATAAAAATAAATACTTGTTTTCCTGTGTTGCTGTGCATTAAATTATGGAAAACACATTACAACTTCATGAAGTTCTGCTTTAATGTGATGTGTATTCATGCACATGAATAAAAATATTATGTAGTTCAGTTTAAGAATCCAGTTCCAATAAAATACTTATCTGTTGTAAATGTAAAAAATAAATTACTTACATTCAGTAGTATGCCACTAAGGGTATTAATTATGCATTTACAACCAGAAATGACCTCAACAATCAAATCAGTACAACAAACACAAGGCTTCGTCTGTGGACTGTAAGAGTTAGCTAGCTTTGTGTTTGTTGTCAGCATTGAAAAGACTCAAGCTAACTATGTGGAAAATGATGCACCCACCAGATTAGTGGCAGCATCATGGTGTGGGGATGCTTCTCTCCAACAGGGACAATTTAGTCTAAAAAGTAAGGAAAAGTATAGAGTCATTGTGGAAGAAAATATGTCAATAGCTGAAGAAGACTAGAGATTGGGTGAAATTGATGTCTGCATGCACCAGCTGTCAAATCTGACTATGCTTGGGTTAATTTGCAAAAGAACAGTTCAAGTAAAAATTGAATTATTTAAATGTGAAAACAAGTAGAGAAACCCCCCACCACACCCCCCAAAGATTTGTCACTGTCATTGCAGCAAAAAGTGTTTCTTTTTTTTTGTTTGTCTGTTTGTTGCTTCACAGATTGAATCAGGAAGATGAATACATGTCCACTCCACACTTTTCAGATATTTATTTTTATTCAGAATCATATGCTGGCTTATGCAAAACCTATCCAAACAAAGCATGAGATTGTAATGTGGCAAAATATGAAAAAGTTCAAAGGGCGCAAATACTTTTGCAAGGAAGATTGTTATATAAATGCATCACAGTAAAGGTCAGCCAACAAATGAAACACAGCACTGATTTTTCCCTCCAAATATCGCTTCTCTCAACTGAGTTATATATATATATATATATATATATATATATATATATATGCATAATAGACATTGTCTCCCATTTACAGCGCGTTTTGTTTTCTCTGCAGCTGCCTTCTCCCAAAATAACCCAATCATTCCACAGCAGGTAATTCTTCCCAAACAGGTTTAATGATCTAATATGGCTGTAATATTAATGTGACACATATTGCTGCTCATTATCTCAGCGCCAGACGTTTTCAATAAGCTGCAGCCCTTTCTGCAAACATGAACACCCTGATTTGTAAACGCATCTTGAAGAGTGTCACAGGAAAAACATGCAGCAGAGCAGAACAAAGCATTTCAGCAGTGTGCAGCACAGAGTGGATGAGACCAGCCTCTCTCTGTCTGTGTCCGCGTGTGTTCTGTGCGCGCGTGTTCCCCTCCGTCACTAAAACAGAGAATAGCAGCTGTTTTGTTTCAACCTTACCTTATCGGGCTGCTCGGGGGATAAAGCGCAGACGCTCCGGGTGATGAAGCTCCGCCGTTTAAAAAAAAAAAAAAAAAAATACCCAAGCACAAACGTGAAGAAATAGGCGCAGGTAGTCCCGTTTTGAAGGAAATGGAAGAAGGCGCTGCGCTGACAGCCTCTCGTCGTTTTAAGTTTGGGTTATGTGTCGCTGTGTTAAGTGCCAGCAGAGGACTGGAATAGGAGAGCTGTCTGTGGAGGGGCTTTAACACGCTGCTGGCTGAGCCGCTGGCTGCCACCCTGAGCTAACTGAGAGCTACTTAACTCACACCGTTAACTTTGTGTAACACCGTGGAACGCTCCTTTGTACGGCGTCACTAAGCGCGAGCGACATTGTAACGAACGCTAGCTAACCGAACACCTTAACACACTGCCTGTTCTCTTCCCCGGAGCTTACCGTGGGTATGCTTCAGCTGGCAGACAATGAAGCTGCTTTATAGTATACAGTTATGTTAGCTTAGCTAAACGGAGATAAAGCTAGTGGTGCGTTCAATGACCTTTGAGAACTCGTATTTTTGTCAACTGACAATAAAATATAAATATTAAAACACAAGGATACAGTTGCATCTCTGTGATAATGTATTTCAGAAATTGAAATGAATAAGTGACAATCATATGTAGGTACATTATGTGTATATTGTGGTGATTTTGAAGATAATTAAACATGGAAATTATTTCTCACAAATTAAAATATTGCATTAGACAAAAAAAATGAGATTTCGGGGGGGGGGGGGGGGGGGTTTTTTAAAAGTTTTTTTTTTTTTTTTTTTTTACCCGTTTCTTTGAA